CGTATCTTTTCTGTAATTTCGGAGCGAAATGCGGTTGTAGGAAATTTTACGGAACTGTCACGGAATATTTCCGGAGCGTTCCGTAATTTTTACTTGAACCCCCTGTGAAAAATTACAATACCGTCACTTAACCCTAGACTGGTCACCATGCGAGGGAATTGCCGCAACACGTCGTTTTATTCACCTTGCCATCGACTGGTTGACCGGAAAATTTGAGAAAAATTGAATTCGTCAATTGAAGTCTCTGGAAAATTCTAGTATTTTTTTTTCAATATTGTATCCTTAATTCGGGGAGAAAAAAAATTATTTCCAACGGGTGAACAATTTTTTCCCGTGTTAAATGAAATTGCCCGTTGCGCGACGTTGCTGGGAACTCGCTAAACGCGTCCGGGAAGTGTAGAGTGGATTCGGCAACGCTGGAGCCTAAATAACATGGCGGCACTCTCCCGCGAAGGTGACTAAAGTCGCATTTTCCCGTCAGGTGACAAGACTACGGTTAAATTTTCTGAGTCGATTCCGTAATCGGTGAGCGAATTGTGAGTTCTGTAATTTTTACTGAACATTTCTCTCCGTGTGGAAGACTGCTGCCTCAAGCCTCAAAGTTAATAAAATCCTCAGTTAAATATCGGAATAAACAAAAAAAATTCGCCGATGAATTTTGATTGAAAGTTCGGCAAAGGTATTTTACCAAACTACATAACATCGTATCTCGAAGTATCATCACTATTTGCCAATAATATCACTAATTACGAAGTATTTAGTCGAAATTCACGACCACATGACTAAATAAAAACACTTTACGACACAGTCCTAAAATTGTTCAACTGTGGAATAAATTTACTCTAGACATAAATTTATTCTGACGATTTATTTGGCTAACAGGCCTTGCTGCAACAAATAAAACAAAAGTTATGTTTGATTTGCCTTTAACTCCAGTTTACTCATTAAATTAAAATTGACCCAGCAATTTTTAATCAGTCCAAGCTATGAGAAATTCATACTCAATTGATTAGTTCACCACTAGCTGGTGGTCGACAGCTGCGACGTCATTGCAGCGAATGTCGACGTAATCCTTGCTAGAGAGTAAATTTAATTTCATGCAATTAACAATTAACGGAATTTTGTTTCAACTCAATAATTTTTAATAATATTCTTCATATCTCAAATAATATTGTGATAATTTATAATCCTTGACAAGAGCTGTCATTAACAGAAATCAATCATCATATTTATAATCATATTGATTGATTAAAAATGAATAAAAGTCCTAAAGAAAAATTAAAATGAACGATTTCTTGAATTGAAGAATTCTTCAATTTTTATTCTCCAAAATTATTCGTTCAGTTCGGTAATTTCGTATGATATTCTTGACGTCATTCATAATATTATGATAATCATTTATTATTCCTGATAACAGCTGTCATTAACACAAATAAATTACTGCAATCAGAAACATAAATAAGAATGCGTGAAGCTGATAAAGTAGAATTAATTGTCGCAACAATGAGACAGACTCTTGCAAATGATGCGCGCGACGTTAGAGCGTCGGTAAAACAAATAATGAAAAGGATAACCAAGTGCCTGGCGCCACACTCGTATATTGCCCGAACTAACCATTATTATTGCTCGTGTCGGGTAGGTAAAACATCAAATTCAAAGCAGCCGAACATTAGTAAATTTGCATTGACTATGGCCCGGTTGCAGCAAGCCCTGTTATCCAAATAAACCCCAGGGTGAAATTTATCCTCGGGGTCAATTATATCGTAGAGGTCATAATTTTTCAATATTTAACCTGAAGAATAATTTTTTATTTATCCTGCAGCCCCATTTACATTAACACTGATTTAAGGCCCGGGTGGATTATCTTTCGAACGTGATCTTGGTTGTTTTTTTATTTTGAAATTGAGAAATGATCTCCAATTGCTATTCAGTTTTACATAGACCTGCAGCCTCGAAAAATTATGATTGTACACTCAAAAAAACGTTGAAAAAAAGCTGAACATTTTCAAAGAGCGTTTTTGAATTATATTGGGAAATAAAGCCAATAGGGAGGAAATTGCAAATTAATAATTTGATGTTTCTAATGGCTGTTAGGTCGTCATTTGTCAGTAGTCAATGGCTATCAGGTCGTTAGTTACCATGATAAATTACCCATTCACTATTTCCTCTCTATCGGACATATTTCTTAATCTTCATTAAAAACGCCGTTTGAAAATGTTCAATTTTTTTTCTACTTTTTTTGATTGTACAATCATAATTTTAAGGGACTCCTGCGAGATGTAAAATTCAATGGAAATGGCGATATATTTTACATTATGAAGGTGGAGAAACAATCGAGATGACGTTCGAAAGATAATCCACCCGGGCCTTAACCTTGGAATTAAATTTTAGTTTTTGTTCCTGGGATAAATTTGAGATACTCTCCCGGGTAAAAGAATCCATCGAACGTACAAATTTATTTTTTTCCTTATCTGACGTTTTCGTTATGTGGAGTTGGTGCAACCGAGCCTCTGATGGGTAAATTCTCGTGCAGACGAGCACATGTCCATACAAACCATCGAAAACCTTGATGTTGAGCGAATAATGTTAATCTCATTTTTACTAAAAAGAAGTTTCAATAATAAATGTCAAGGAAAGTTCTGCCATGTCCCGATAAGGAATCATTTCATTTATACTACTTCGAAGGAGACGTCAAGGACGATAACTTTTTTTTATTCATGATAAGTAATAAAAATAAACCGCACTTGAACTCATTTTATTTAGTTTTATTCCTTAATTTACATTTGCGCACAAAATATGGTCAGTCAAGGTAATAGGAAGGGTTTTTGCTCCCGAAGGGAAATATTGTCCTCGTCAAATGCGAAATTTCCAATTTTCTGTGTCAGGATAATTTATTCCGCCATCAGGAGTTCGAACGTGCTATTTTTAAATAATTGTTTAAATGAATCCAATTCGGTAGCCAAGCGGCCAAACGGTTTAAGTGGATTTAGCTCTTATCTGTTTTGTCGCAGTATATCTCCGAATCTAAAGGAGATAGCGAAATTTTTATGGGAAACTTTTTGATAGCTCTTAATTCGGTCTACAAAAAATGTTATGACGAAAATATTGCTATCTGCCTTAGATTCCGAGATATTTAGTGAATCGCCTTGACGTATATCCCCAGACAATTCCACCCAAAAGTTAGTCCCTGTGGATTTCCGGAGAAAATTCCAAATAATTTAATTTATTGCATTCTCATAAATCATTGAGTTTTTTATCCTCATATGTTGTTAAAGAAGGCAACAATAACTGTTTGAATCAAATAAGAAACGATTTCCCGAAATTTCCATTTTTTCGAGTTGAATATGGCAGAAACTATGAACTACAAAATTTTACAAAAAATTCACCGTATTTGAAATTTAAAAAACTACCACAGATTCGTGTTTTAAGACCATCATAACAATTATTTTCTCGTAAGTTTCGCATTTCATTATTCATTATCTCCTAAACTATGTAGTCCAGCTAGTTCGAATTTTTTTCAGTAGCTAGGGAATATTATAAGCATTATTTATGAAAAACTGGGGACAATCGTAAGCAAAACCTGTTCTCTAGGGATATACCTTAAACCGTTTTACCACTTGACTACTGAATTGTGATTTTAAATATTCTTTCCAAAGTCGTCTTGACCGAGTTCGATCATGAGATTGATTGTATCATTTGTTGTTGAAAAAAATCACCGTGAAACCAATTTTCAAGGAAAGGTCCAAATTTTTAACGTTGCGGCAATGTTGAGACAATGCTGACTGCCAACGTTGGGACCATGTTGGCAGCCAACATTTAAACAGTATTGAATTCAATCAATCCTTGAATTAAATTAAAAATACATCTCCTTAGAAATTCCCTTCGAAATCAAACAGTGAATTCATTAGCAAAAAAATATCGACGAAGTTGTGACGAAAGCAACTGCCCACATGTTTTCAACACACTACTCTCTATTCCTCATCAGTAAATCACAATCTACCACCAAGAATCAACCATTCTGCGGCAGGATGCACTCATTTAAATTTAATGCCACCTAAGCCCAGTGGCAGTCACTCCCCGAGCGTCGAATCCCCCATCGCCGAAAAAAACTACTGAACACTTAATTTCTCCATCTACGTCGATACAACTTTTTTTCAATCACTGATCAGACATGGTCACTGCAGCAATTGACGAAACGAGGACGATGGAAATTTAAGTATCAACGTCACGTGTTTCTTTTGTGTATAAAAATACGCATCACGCATGAGTGGAAACCGGTGGTCATATCAAATGCCTCCAGGCTTCTCCTATTACAATGCTCTCTAGTTGAAGAAAAAACGAATTAGGCCAAAAACATAGCGAGGACGATTGAACTAGGGCTGACTAACAACACTGCGATAATTTTGACGTTCGTTAACAGGTCTTGCCTCATCAATTACCAGTGGACTAATCCCAGTGGGAGGAAGGCAGCTCCCTCCAGTCCTCGATCATCTCCAGCAGTCGAACGTCGAAAACCCAAAGGAATGGAAACACCTCGCAACATTCAGCCAAGTTCCTCCTCATCGCATGTAATCACTCAATTATCCGTGACGTTTTGCCAACAGTCCAAAGTGTTTTGCCTCGATCATCGAGATGTTTTGTCGATGCAACCGCCAGAGGTTCCGCTAGCAACGTCCGTAAACACCGGTACCATTCTAGGGTCCACAGTGCGCATTACCAGAAACTGAAGATCCAAAGTACAATGACACCCATCAGTTATCTGATGTCCGATTTAATTATCGACGTTGTTTCATGAATGATAAGTGCACGTTCGGTTGTAACTGTGATGTCGCAGGGGAATTGAGGCTTGACGGTTGATCGAACCCGTCGACTCCACTCGGCAAAGCTCGCCAATACACGCCCGGTGTATGACATCGAATTACCTCTCCGGGACGATATAATAAATGTATTTATGAATCGGCGCAACAACGATTCCGCCAGTTGATGGTGAAGTGCTCGGTGTGCTGATGCGATTGGAAAATATTTTACGTCTCAGGGAAATTCACATTTTTTACTCTTGACCGAGGCTTTGTGGCTCTACTTTGGAATTCAAGGACTCGGGAAAATAAAACGCGTCGTAAACAATGTGAAGTGTTCATTATTGCGGAGCATTCGTTCGTGAATTGCCGTCGCAACTGTTGTGATTCAAGACATAACAGAATATTTAACGTTAAAAAATGAGAAAGGCACATTTCTATTTTGGCCGTGGGTACGTCAATGTCCGCAGCACGTTTGCGTGTCCTGTCAAGCTAATGTCGTGAGGAAGAGAATTGTCAATGAATGAGATTCATAGTGATTATTACGAGACTTATGGACCTTGAGTATTCATTAAAACGTAGTTTACAAGGCTGGAATGAGACGTACGTCTATCCGGAATAGTTTTTCATTGAGTGAAACTGTCAGACGCGAAGTTGTCTTGGGTTTCACACATCTGTGTCTCCGGTGGTGCTAACGTGATGTGATTGGAGATCATTCGGAAGACATTCGCTTATTTTTATACTGTTCGACACATGGGGTGGTTCAGTAAGTGTTTGTGCGGCGTTAAAAACGCGAAATCTCATCCCAAAAAGGACAAGAAGAAGAAATCGCGGACGCGTGAGGAGATTTACGTGATACAGGAGAAGAATAACGAAGAGTTGGGGGGGAAATGTCGTGCGGATGAAGAGAAACAGAGGATCGACCTTGGTGAGCGCCAGCGATTAACTACACTCAATGGTGCAGAGCGTGGAACGAACGATTGGTCTAATCGCGAATTGTCTCAGACAATCGATCACAAAATACAGAATAACTCGATCGACGAAGGAGAGTTCTATGATTCTCTTTCGGATGCGAGTCCTGAGGACACACTTGAGAAAAACACTTTGAAATGTAACAACATCAGTGGTAAATATCAGAATGGCTCGGTTGACTCGTCAACTTGCGGAGACTCAACGATTCCGAACTCGATGGCTAATGGAGGATGTCGAATTTCGAGCGATCCGTGGGAGTCGACGAGTAAAAATCAGAGAGTGGGTCGGGTGGAGGAGAGTAATGGCGCATTCGTAACATTGAATAACAATTTGTACAATGAGAGGATGACGAGGGATTCGGGAAGGATGTCGGATCATTTTGGGCTGAAGGAAGTTAATGTCAAGACAGGTTCAGAAGGAAGTAAATTTGGCTGCAGAGAAGCTAGCATGAGGATATCCGGAAATGAGCAAGACTTCCGGGCTGGAATGAATTCTTGCAGCTTTGTGATACCATTTCAGGGTAATGAGGGGCCGGTGAAGGATTGTAATGGGAGGAAAAAGAAAATTCAGTCGATGATACCGAAACCCGCGGCTAGGAGTGAGCTACATCAGTCCGGGGAGGACACGGTGCAGGGATTAGATAATGGTATTTTAATTGCGTAGAGATATTCATTTATGGATGGAAAAATGGAATGGAAAAGGGAGCGAATTTGGGGGAAAATTCGATTGGATTTTTGTTGGATTTTTTGTTAGTTTTTGGATGATTCTAGTGTACATTCCGCGAGTCAGGGATGGCTATGTCCATGAATTATAATTACCGTTAAATTATTTGGGAGTAATTATTAATTAGTTAATATCACTGTTAAATTTTAATTATTAAAGTAATCATCAATTTTAATATTCAAATTCTGAATTATTTATTAAGCAGTAATTTAGTTAGGAAGATTGACGATTAACTGGATAATCGGAAATCCGTTATAAGAAATTTAGTGATATTTACTTAATAGAAAATGTACAGATCCATATTATTATTAAGTATTTAATTCACCATCAATTGGAAATTTAGATTATCAATTATTTTACTATTTGTAAATTTCGATTAGTATATTGAAACCTGGATCAATGTACGTCGGAAATTCTTTTAATATTGAAAAATCTTTTAATATTGAAAAAATATAAAATATATTTTAATATTGAAAAAATTTTTTGTGTAAAACTCATTCTATTGAGATATTTTCTATAAAATTTCCTCGGCTCGAATTAAAAAATTTTTTTTTTCAATTTTGCAAATGAAAACAAAAAATATTAGTAAAAAAACATACAAAATTCATATCGAGAAATTCCGGTAGAAAACATATCAATAAAAAGATGAAATTCTATAAATTTTTTCAGTATAATAATTTCTATTGAAAATTTTCTATTTAAAAAATGGACAGTAAAGCTGCGGAATTCGTCAATAAGATCATTCAAAAACTCGAAGTTCATTAAAAATCCAGTAGAATTTTCCATTGAAAAAACAAAACTATTATTATATTTTACTGAAAAGAATTATTATTATTTCAAATAATTGATTTTTCAGTTTTATAATTATTACATTTTATTATTACTATTATCATTATTATTCTTATTATTATTATTATTACAGGAAAAAAAATTGAGTTCGCTAGATTTTTCGATGATTTTTTTGTGCCTATTAAAGTAGTATAAACATAACTTGAATTTTGAAGATGGAAAATCTGCAGTAAATTCTTAACGGAAGTTGATATGAATAAAAACGTTCTAGTTCAGTTCGTACTCAATTAGCAGTCCAGTATTATTGATAATAATTAATTCGGAGGTGGCAAAATAACCCAAAGTCTTCTCAGAAAATAAATTTCTCAAGATTGCCAAAAAATCTTAAAAAATTAGAAAACATAAATAAAAATTTTGTCTAATACGAAAGGTATCTTCAGTGTCACACTTTTGTGATGATTTATGTTTCTGGGTACCCCGAATGGACAGGATGCCCTCGTCAACCGAGCAACTATTGTTTAAGAAAATAATTGTAGAGAGAATTTAATGGATCAATTTTGTACTCTCGTCAAGGTTAGAATTCATGTGAGAAATCAAAGATGAATAATCTTTTTTCCGGGCATTTTAAATTTATTTTTCCTCGCACTCAATTATTTACGTGGAGTTTGGATATTCTACTTTAATATAACTTCTGACGCATTTAGAAAAAAAAAATTTGATTGAGACTGAAATAAGAATTTCGTTTTATACAACTGAAATTACAATAGCAATTGACATTTTCTCGGACAACTATTCTCTATAATTTAATACAAAAAACTATATCTCCTCGAATAACCGTCTTCACGGTCGCATTCCTCCAGTTGTGCCATTAAACATTTTCCCCCATTGTTCGTAGAATTCAAGTGTTTTTACATAATTTGAGGTTTTGATGATTTTTTTTTGCAGGCCGTGTCCATTCGGCGATTGTCTCTGGCGTCAACTGGGAGTCAAGAAGTGTCACAGTAGAATGGTTCGAGAAAGGGGAGACCAAGGGGAAGGAGGTAACAATAAACTATAATTAACAGTCCTTTTTATGACCTAAACCAAGTCATATTCTGAATGAATGGGGAAAAGTGGAGTAAAATGAACAGCTTTGACTTTTTGCTTCCAAACGGAAGCATTGTATTCGTCAAATCTGAAATTTCCATTTTTTTTGTGTGAAGATGATTAATTTTTGTGTCAGGAGTTCAAATATACTGTTTTAGGTCATGTCCGCGGCTTTTTTTTCAAATTTAGTTTTTTAGGTTTTTTAGTTTTTAATTATAAGATCTATGCGCGCGCTGATCTATTCATTTGTTGAAATGAAGAAATGGAATTCATTAAATTTCATTTTCTCATGAATACCTTATAAATATTGATAATGAATCAAAGAGAATTCGACTAATGATTGAAGTGAATAGCGAAGTAGAGTAAAAGAATCTATAAAGAATTTTTCATTTTCAATTAATTATCTTCAATTTTTTTTAATAATCGGTCTCCATAAAAGGACAGAATTTAATAATTTCACCGATAATATAGTATATACATGTGAAATATATGACGAGAAAAAAAAATTTACCACTGAAGAATTTGAAATTATGTCACTGAAGAATTTGAAAATGCCGTGTGTTTTTTTTTTGTGAATAACTTTGTGTCACATATTGACCAATCAGAATTAAGGATTAGCGGTCAGACAGTTTCGAGATATTTCGATATAAAACAACTTCACGTTTCTTTCGTCTTTAGTAAAATAGGATTTTTTGAATGATCGTCGAAATTTTTTTGATTATGACTTAAAATATTCCTTTGGATGTTATCTCGGCCGAGTTCGAAGATAGTGGCGATTGCACCATTTGCTTTGAAATTATAGCCTTAAAAGGCATTTAATCGAGGTTTAGTCGGGATTTAGTCGGAGTTTAGCCAGGGTTTAGTCGAAGTTTACTCGGAGATTAATCAGGATTTAACCAAGGTTTCGTCAAGGTTTAATCAATATTCAGTGGAAGTTTAAAGCAGTTTAATTTTAATTTAGTCGGCGTCTGTTAGATGTTTAACCAGGGCATATGGAGCTCATGTTAGACATTTGGGACATTTACGATCCATATTAAGGTTTCACGGCTGGTATATCTTCTTCCCCAATTTACCATTCAGAAGCAAATCGCGAATTCATTAGCAAAAAAATTATACTGGTCTCAAGTCCAGTTTAAGAAAAACTATTCAGGAGAAAAAGAAAATTTAAATAATTTACTCACGACCGAGGAGACATCAACATTGATGTATCAGGAGCATGAACTCTTGATATCAAATTTTACATTCATTTTGCTTTCACTCAATCAGTCTAATTTAAAATAAATTCAGTTCACTAAAAAATTTCATCTCAAATTGTCTTTAAAAAAAACTATTGAATTTTCCTGAGGTTAAACTTCAGGAGGGATCCCTACTAATCTGAAATTAATGGCAGAACACCGAATATGCACTTTTTATTTTAATTCGATTAATTCTTTCGGAGGCAAATTGCAAATTTTTAGCAAAAAAACTGCACTTGATTTAGACCTGTGCAATGGGCCACTTGTTAGATGTTCATGACATCTTCGCTACTAAATTTGTTCCTGTGTTAGAAATTTGAAAAAGAATTCAGTGTTCATTTTGCCTCACCCCCAATGTCTTTCCCAAATCTTATGTCAATGAATTTTATTCCGACGAATGCATTGAACCCTCGTCCTGCACGTGTTCGGCTCACGTACTGATAATTAAATATTCCCTATTATGATTTCATCACCAAGTCAACGCCCTAGGTCACGGTTAAAGTGCTATTTTAAATTGACTAGCTTATGCAATGCGAAAGTAGTAACCTGCTTGACATCGTTAGTCTATTTCGAACCAGTGATCTTAGAAGATCGGGCAGGTCCAACAGGCGCTCTGGAGCAAAAAACCATTCTCAATAAATAAGTTCTCAATAAGATAAAGAACATGCCCATCAGTCTGATTCCTCGCAGAAAGGCAAACAAGCACTTGAACAAAGAGAAAAATTACGAGGATAATGAAGTAAAAAATCGAGGGGCTACTCACTCTCTGATTCAGTGACACCATGATTTCGAAATGACGTCGACTTCATGTGATTTCAGAGTTGATTTCAGTGATTTCGGGAAGAAATGAAATCGATGACTTCAAGTGGATCGCGATATGATTTCGTGACTGCAATTGACTTCGAATGATTTCATAGATTCGAAATCAGCGATTTCAGGGGCAATGAAATAATCGAAATCACGATGAATACCGTTCGTCGCATTCTCCTACAAAACATTCATTAGTTTTAAATGACTTCGGCATGATTTCAAGACTTCAGCGTGTTTTCGGAAATAATTTTAGAGAGTTGAAATCACGGGATTTCCCTGATTTCGATGATTACAATGATTTCATCACAGAGTGGCGTCATGATTTCCGGGAGTGAGTACACGGAGAAAATTATTTGGTGAAATTTAACGACTAGTTGTTGAGATTCAACAACTAGTTGGTGAATTTTCTCCGTTTAGCCCCTCGTAAAAATTATCCTTAACGGCAGACGGAATCCCTTTGTCTACATCAAATCTTAGAATTGTGTTTTCTCCTACAATTATTAATTTCTATCTATGAAATTACTTTATCAACTCGATTATCGCATTGTTGAGTCAATGAAGTAGTTTAATGAATAAAAAATAATAATTGCAGGAGAAAACATAATTCTAAAGATTCATATAAACGCAGGGGTTCCGTTTCCCCTTAAAAATTCTCCGGAAATGCATTAAAATTCGTCCGTTTTTTTCGTACTTTCGCACCGAAAACTCGCGGATTTGTCCGTTACAAAGGCTCAAAGTCAGTGATAGGCATATCAATCAATCATAATTACCGTTAAATTGTGTAGTTGTCAATTTTTAACATAAATCTTAAAAATTTTAAATTTTAAAGTAACCATTAATTTGTACATTTAAATTTAGAAATATTCTATCAACCAATAATTTAGGTAGGAAGATTTACGATTATTTGGATAATCGAAAATCAAGTACCTAAAGTTAGAATTAACATGTTACCTAAAAAATTACATTTCAGTATTATCAAATATTTTATTCTCCATTAATCGAAAAATTTAGCTAATAAATTCTACAATATTTTAAATTTGTTAAATATAGTTAAACTTTGAACAATATAAGGAGATAATCCCCCTTAAATATTGTCAAAATCTTATATTATTGCCTATCCCTGGGCAAAGTTGTCCTTTATCCAGCATTTATCCCTCACTTTCACCTAAAAATTCCTGAAATATTATACAATTTCACCTAGATCGTACAGTAATTTTTCTTCCCATTTTTTTTCCCATAAGAAAGACATGAATTCTTCATGAATTTCTCTTCCATTAAATATAAAACTCATCTCTCTTTACCACATTTAGGTGGAGATGGACGCGATCCTGGCCCTGAACCCCGAGCTGACATCAAAGACCATGGGGCCCCCTCAAAACAACAACATGCTGTCCAACACAAGATCGAGGGTAAGTCATTCACCCCAATCTTCTAAATTCTCCTTACAGCTGAAAAGATCATCTCCGAAGACATCCTGAAGACAATCACCCCTTCAAATTCATGATTGCCTCATACTCAGTCATAATTTCATTCTAAAAACCCTCGATAATTCAACATTCTATCCTCAAGATGCATGAAAATAATACGCGTGCCACGTAGAAACCGTATTTTCTATTCCGAATAAGTTTATCGACTCGGGTTTCAATCGAAATTTGTTGACGCGTTGCCCATGACTACTGAATTTCTCTAACCTGTTTCCCCGGGGGTGTATGTAGAGTAATGTGCCGGTCTATTGGCAGTGGTGTGTATCCCCTGGAATGTTCCAATACCTGATATTCTTCCAGGTAGATTCAATTACGCGAAGTTCTCTTCATTTTTTCATCGCCTCAGTTGCCTCACGACTTCATGCATCTGATGATTAATAAATAAATGAATTAATTGATGAATTAAGGCCCGGGTGTGCTATCTTTCGAATGCTATCTGGATTTTTTTTATCTTTTGTAATCCAAAATTGTCAATTGAGTGGTACATCATGTAGAAATTCCCAAAAATTATGATAGAATGATTTTAAAAAATGAAAAAAATTCTGAACTTTTTCAAAGAGCGTTTTTAATTGAGATTCAGAATGAGTTGAAAAAAGTGGTAATTACAAATATCTGATTCGCTGTGGCAAATTATCTATTAGCTGTCATTTTCCATGGTGGATAACAAAA